AATGATAACGCCCAGAGAGTTGAGGACAAAGGGTTTGGTATACGACTCGATGCCTACCAGTGCTCTGAGTCCGAGTTATTGACAGCAATTGATAAGCTATTGAATGATAAGAAACTGACTGAGAATCTGAAGACTATATCGCAAAGAATACAATCGGATAATAGTATCGCAAAACTTCCTGAACTTATTGAAGGTTTAGTTAAACATTAAAATATGTGCTAAAAATATGATAAATTGATCACAAATGAAAAAGTAATAATGATTTACATTTTAAAATTAATTTGAAATACTTTTAAATTATTGTTTTTTAATCAATCGTATTCATTTATATGATAATATTTTTATTAATTAAATATGCTTTTAAAAATTTAATAAATATCATTTGGTTTTATACTTTATTATTATTATTATTCAATTTAAAATTAAGATACAATAAAATAATATTATCTTTAAAAGTTTCGAAACATTTAAATTTTAAATTATAAATTCAATTAAATTTTAAAAGATTTAGATTTGAAATTGAAATTTCACACACAATAACTTGTTAAGAATGTGGCTTGGTAACAAACACATTTAAGTAACGCGCCCTATATTACAGCTTTGACACTATTCCTGAATATTCTTTCAATGAATAAACTCTTATATAATGCAAGTCTTTTCGTACATTATATTCATGAATAGCTATTCAAGTAGTGGATCGCCTTTCAAATCATGTCATCACTTGTTATATGATATGCCTTTCGTATCATATAATACTTGAATATGTTTTAAATGTGTATTGACTATATACAAGCAAAACACAAACGCGAATATAAATTGTTTTGTTGTTTATTTGCTGTCACGAAATATTTGACAAATTTATTTATGTATTGATATGGCGTATAATAAATACAGAATATTCTGGTGGCACTTATAGTGTAATTGTATTATGAGAATCATTTTTTGTCTAGCTACTTATATATCACATAATGGGTTTAATATCATATACAACCCTATCAATCAATTCGCACATTAAGAATATTCTGTAATATTTTAATAATTATTTCTAAGTTTATTGCAAAATGTTGATATTGATTTAAAGTGGCAGATATTTTAAATATATATATTCTTTAGCAAAATGTCAGCTATTTGATAAATATTCAAATTTAGTAATATCTAGATTTCTTATTCAAATAAGTTATTTGTGAATTTTTCAATTGATAAACATTACGAGTAAACTTTAAAACAATTATTTATTGTTAAAAATAACATCAATACAACAATTTATTAATTTATATAATTATTTTTATAATGATACATTTTAATGTACAAATACAGTATAATTATGTGTTATTATGTTATAAAAACTATTTCAGATACTTTCATAAATATAATAATAGATTTCTATTAAGCATATGAAAAAACTTTTAAATATTTGAAAAGTATAATTATAGCTCTCATGCAAACTATATTTAATTCATTCAGTATATCGACCTTATAATAAATAAAAGCTGACATATCTAGTAATTATTATTTATACATTTTAGTCATTTAAGTCGCACGGAATATTACGTACAACAAATTTTTTTTATAAATTTCAATACAAAATCAATCCTATAAAATATTGAATTTTTAAAAAATAAATAATAATTTTTTATTTTAATTAAATATAAATAATTATCTAATAGCAATGTTTAATATTTTTGCTAGTTTTATTACTAATATATAATTTCACTATTATTTTTATTTTATTTTTATTCATTATAAAAACTGTTAATAAACATAATATAATGTGTAATTATATATGATTTAATCTATTAAATGTTATTTAATTTTTCACATAATTGTTTTTCTATATTTAATTTTACTATTTTATTACATCTAAATGAAATACTAAAATCGTAATTTTTAACCCTGTTTAAAAATATAAATAGATACTTTGCTTATAATGATGCTTATTACTTATTAACCGTTTATCTATACAAAAAGTTAGGTAGACCACGCTGCTTAATGGGTATGACCACCAAGAACATAACCGATGAGCAAAAAGTGATGATGAAAAAGATCCAAAACAGTATGCGATCGATAAACAGGGCCAGTAGTCGCCATTCGTGTATGACATCCGATTCCGCACCTTTTAGCTCACTTTCCCACAATAGGTACCGGCATATGATGTCCAGGAGCTCCTCGTGCGCCTGCAGTAGCCTATCGTACGTGGCGCCCGACACAGTAGTCGACCCTGGTACGGTTATATTGGCAGCACCCGTACCACGGGTCCGATTGTCAGCCAGGTTATTGGCGATTCGGTTACACGATTTGGCTCGCGATAAATTTAGTAGCAGTTTATAATTGTCCTCGATGTTTATTAGCGACTCAGTGCTCAGTGCGTACCGGTGCCCAGCGTACAGGTCAAAGGGTATGTGCGTGTCGTTAGGTATGGGCGGTTGGTTCGGTTGGCCGTACTTTGAGTGTCTCTGCAATAGCCGGCGCTGTATTTCGTGGCTAAGACTGCTTGTGGTTGAGTTAAATAGTTGGTGAGCATTTGTAGCCTGGTAATTGTTTGTCACATTTGGCTGTTTAAATATAAAAGTTATGGATTACAATTTTATAATCTTTAAAACTATCCACGTATTTGTATCTTTAATATTATATTTTATAAAGTTTATTTAAGCTAATCATAATAAAATAATTTTATTGCAAAGTAATTTATGCCACTTTTGGATATTACTATATAATTATAATATCCTATACTTATCCATAATAATTATAATACCTTAAAATACCTATACTTAAAATTACAATTTTATAAATATGTGACATTTTATCAACATTTAACTTTTATTAACTTTATGTAATCAATCATAAATAATAAATTTTATCTGCATATTCAATTTAAAAAATTACACGATTTTTAGTATACTGTATTTTGTTAAAACAAAAATTAATACAAAACTTTACTATGTTATTTAATATATCTAATATAACTTACATTTTTGATACAATATTTAGTTTAGCACTAGAATGACAATATATTGAATAAAACTTTAATATTCAAGTTATAACTTATAACTTAAAATGTTTTATTATGAGACTCATGTGATTGTTAAATAAAATTTTTTTTAATTAATCATTAACAATATTATAAGACATACAACTAATTTAAACTAATGTGTTGATTTCTAAATGATTACTTAACCAAAAATTATTTTCAAAGATTTTGTAATACAGTATTATTATTATACTTTCAAAATATTTAAATAAAACATTAAAAATAAACTACATAAAACATTTAGTATAGTAAATACTGATTTAACATACCGATTGGGGTGAGTATTTATTAAGCTCGCAACTGGATAGAGTGCTAAGACTTTTGAGCCAACCTGGTATCTTTTTCTTAACAGGACCTCTATAGTGAAAATTGAGCACGATCACTGTCATGATAACTGACACCGAGGTTATGGCCATCACCACTGTTAGATATATTCCTATAAAACAAAAATAAATATAAATACATACCATTTATATAAATGACAAGTTTTTGTGTATGAAATACTAGAAGTAGGCTATAATATAGCTATAAAGGGAATGGGAGGGAAAGGGTGAGGGGAAAGACACACAGTTATGACTTAAGGGAACGGAATTCCATTTATAGACATCTTAAGAGATATTTATTTGATTATTAAATATAGTTTTTAAAGCACTTTTTCGTAGCCTCAAGAATATTCTGTATATACAATGCATTCTATATAATAGTAAATATTAGTCATTATATGACAATGGGAATTAAATTGTTTATTTATTATGAATTGTAAACAAGATAAATTTGTAAGTATTTTTAAAAGTATTTAATATATATTTAAAGTATTAACTAAAGATTTTTGTTGATTTAAAATAAATGCAATAATACATGCGGCAAATGTATACATTTTAGTATTGATTTTTCAATCCATTTTTATCAGTTGAGTGTATAGTCTTTTGCTTACTATTTGTCGTATTATTATAAAAGTCAATTATTATAACTATAGTTAAGCTTTCACTCACTCACAGACACACAACATTTGCTTAGATCCTCAAAAACTATTAAAATGGAAATTTTCTGATAAGAATCTAAATTCTAGATTCTTATATTAAATACAATGTTACATAAAACACACAATTAAAAACGCTTAGATTTTAAGTAAACTTAATCTAATTAACTAAAATATAAAAAAGAAAATGATTGTGTTTAAATCTTTAAAATGCCATTGTTAATGAAATAATTTAATTAATCATTGGAAGCAAAATACCAAAATAATTAAATAGCAAATAAAAATAGTTCATTTTATTTATCATATATATTGTAAGTGTAAAATATACTTTTAATTTAAAAAGAAAAAAATTGTAATTTTCTATTTATCAATAAATAAATAATTAAGATTGAAATATAAATAAATATAGAGTTTTCATTAGACATTACTATAGTATTAATTAATAAACTGGATTGAAAACTTTTAAAAGTATAATTAAATATAAGTATATTTAATTTTTAAAAATCCTTTTGTTCGTTTGTTTGATTATTATAAAAAAATCTTATTTTAAAAATCATATTAATAATTCAAACTGTAATACTATTTGATTTTATATTAATATACATTATTATTTACAAATCTCAACAAAATGTAAATGGATTTAATTGAAAGAAATTTGAAGACTAGCTAGTAAATAAACTTTAATTAATATAATCTATATTAAAATTTATAAATTAAGAAATATAATTACCTAGTAAAGGAATAGATTCGGATGTTTCAGGCAACTTTTCACTTATAGCCAACATAAACACGGAAAACGCTAGTAGCACGGTAACACCAAGGGCAATCTTTTCACCGGAATCGGGCGGTATACAAAACACTAGCAAGGTGAGCACCGACAGCATCATACATGGTAATATAACATTGTACGTATAATATAAAATCTTGCGCCTAATTGTCAGCCTAATAGTGACGTCCGGAAATGGTTCCGGACAGCACGGGTAGTATACGACGTTACGGGATATGTCGGCCTCTAATAGATCCCATTCCCCATTGGGAATGTAGTTAGACATGTCCACATCGGCCGTCCTGTTTAGTACGTCCACCTGTCAATCACACGGGAAAATATGTCAGATTACATGTATTTAGGTATAGAATTTTACAGAATATTCTGGTGCATGCTATGTGTGTGTGTTTACAACAAAATCTAATCTAATCTATAAAATGTTATTAAATTTTGTTTTGTCTGTAAAATGTGTTTTAAATCGCATTTTCTTTGATTTTGTTTTGTTTTGTAAGTGTTTTATATGTTTTTATTTGTTGTTTACTAGTATAGTATAAAGGTCTTGTAGAGATACACAATTTACACATTATGTTTTAGTATTTTATACTGTATATATTATTATTTTTAATTAGTATTGTAATTTTAAATTTCATTCAATCTTATGTATAATATTTTATTTACTTTCTGACTTAATTTAATAATTTTGTCAAAATAATTTATGAAATTTAAAACTAATTGTAAATACAAATAATACTCATTGAAATATATTATGCTTTTTAAGCAAAGTTCAGTATTAAATGAATTTCTATTTTGTTTATGTATTAGCAATATAATTATTTTATTGTTTTTCTATTTATCTTTAATTTTATTTTTCTATCATACTGTCAATCAAATATTCATTATTACATTACTCATAATAAAAGTTCAAATATATTTTCAGAGAGAGAGAGAGAGAGAGAGAGATGTGCATACTTGTAGTCCGTCGTATATCCAGGAGCCGAGCTTTAATTTACACGTCTGGTCATCGAAGGGAAAGTATGTCACGTCTACGGGACACGTACTCCGGAATTTGGTAGGTGGGGGCCAGAATATATTCCCATTGGGCTCTATGATGGCACGCGAATTCATATAACCCCGGGTGTAATCATCGGCACTAATTTGCAAACATGACAATTTTAAATTAATCAATATGTAACATTTTTCATTTAAATAAGAGTTTTTACTAACAAGGTTACTGTGGCTAATGTTAGTGCTAGTTTTATTAAATTAATAGATTGCATATATTTAACAGATATTTAAGTAATGATATACAATGTAAATTTTATTATAAATACACTATGTCAGTTATATCTGAAATATTTTTATACTTAATTAATTTCATTTACTATTAAAATGAAACTTGAGCACACAATTGAGTTATTTCATATTTCATATAGAGTAATTATATTATTAAATATTTTTTTAATTTTGTAAATTTTTATTTTCATAGAGAAATAAATAAATTATTGACAAAATAATAAGTACATTAGAAACGCTTGCAATTTTAAAACCATAATTTAAAAATAATATTATTTATTTCGAATTTATTATATTTTTAGATTAGACCTGAAAGGCCAATTAAAATGAATATTAAGTTTTTAAAAGTTCAAATTTTGAATTAATTAATATAAAATAATAATTTACAGTAGCAATTTATTATTTATTATTTTATAAATAAATAAACTCACTTTTATCTTTTATATAAATAATAGGCTAGATTATCATAATATTTTAACTAAAATTAATAGTGATCACGTGGTACTTGAAATAAAAAAAATTTAATTAAATTAATTAAGTTTTATTCTATATATAAATACTCTATACTACTAATTTTTAATATAATAATATATAAATAGATTCATGCTTTTCACACACGACTATAAATCCCAATTACTATCAATAACTACAAATGTGTTCACAATATTGATGGCATCGATTAGAGAGTACAAACAATTTATATAAGCTAGGTCGCCAATAGTTTATATATAGAAAATAATTACATACTACTATACAACATGGGTTTATACTGGTATTACTCGAGATACTCTGAACACATATCCAAAGTAATAGCAAAACGATTAATAGTTTTTGATATATCATTGATTGCGACTCTCGAGAGTGAAATTTAGCCTAAATTTCAGTTTATTTTATTTGACTCCACTATTGCTGGGAATGAATGATGATTTATATACATACTGTTTGTGTGTATATCTCGCATACCAGTGCTTCTGTCGCTATCCATCCCTTTTAACTCCCATTCCCCTATCGATGACTCCATAACCCCTAACTCACTATTAAATTGATATATCGTTTGTATATAAATAATTGGGTTTTTAGGGTTGGTCTCCGTTTTCTATCCCCAGACCGTAGATATAGACGTATAAATCGATGACATTTTTATTACATTTCTTTATTCTCTCTATTAATATGTTGAGAGAGAGAGAGAGAGAGAGAGAGAGTATACAAACGATATATCAATTTAATAGTGAGTTAGGGGTTATGGAGTCATCGATAGGGGAATGGGAGTTAAAAGGGATGGATAGCGACAGAAGCACTGGTATGCGAGAGAGAGAGAGTATATTCTTAAGAAAAATATTTTCCAATTTAATTAAATACTCTATACTGAAGTGAAAATACATTTTATCTATACATGCAATGTCTGGTTTGTATTAATAAATGCCATGTATTTAGTACTAACGCAAGGAATTAGTGATGAATTAATTTTGGTTTTTGTGTGCTGTCTATACTTTGTGTAAGTAGTCATACATTGTAGTTATACTGCAGTAAAGAAATCATTTCAATGTATGCTATTTGTGTATAGCATTTATTTTAACACACAAAATAAAATTTCTTATAGATTTAGTAATCAGGTATTAGAGGAAAGTATCAATTATTATGTATTACCTGTTGGTAATTATTATATAGTTTGTACAACATTAATTAGGTAGAAACACAAAAATTTTGATACAAATAATGTATAATTAATGTCAAATTTAAAAAACATGTTATAATATATTTAAGGCAACATTTAGCATAAACGATCATATTTAAAAATATAAAATTATTCATTAGTTAAGAAAGTTAAGACATGCTTTATAATTATTTGAAAGCGATGTAAATTCAATTGAACTAGATTGTGTCCATAAGGATTTTATATTTTTTGTCAAATTAATTACATTAATAAAATTAAATGACATCAATGAAAAATAATTTCTATGAATTGCCTCCAATTAGCCATGTCATTTATTAAAGTCCTTTTTATAGCAGCAACAATAACAACAAAAAGTTAACAACGCACAAAAAGTGTCAGTATAGTTTTGAAACGCGCCAGTTACTTTCAATACAGTGCTCTACATTTAATAGTAGTAAGTGTTACACACATTAACCAAGAATTTAATTTTGTAAGGTCAGTTAAATGTTTTGTTACTACAATTTATATGGCCCACAACATAAAAATACAAACTCAAATTGTACTGTACATGCTTGTAATTGTGTGTGCTAATTTTCAATTATGGTACATCTAATGCTATATAAATATTTCCGAATCAGTTAACATGGATGAAAAAATGAAATTTCAAATAATTGTTTAAAAATGTAATAAATAGGTTTACTCTAGCGAATGCACACGTTAATTATCAAAACCATCTCAAATATTTTAAATCAAAGTTAGCATTCAGCAAAATTATAATTATAAAACCTACCCATGCTGATATAATTTGACCAATTTGGACATACATTATTTAAATGAAATTCTACTATTTAATCGTCATTTAAGTGTTTATCAAAATTTTAATATATATTTACCTATTTTAATATAAATTTATACAATACATTGTCTAAGGAAACAATTGTACTGTATATGAGTTAATAAAAAGGCAAAGAATATTACAAAATATTCTGCGGTATTATTCGGTACGAGAAATCCATATAAAGGAGCAGTGAATCGGAATATTCTGTACAAAGAATTAATATAAGTGTATAGGAAAGCAGAAACATAACACAAAAACACAATACAGAAATGAATTGACAAAAAATAACTAATACTAAATAACTTTTACTCTAAAGATTTATATAATAGACATGAGATTTATATATATGGCCTAACAATAGGGCCCTGGTATGTGTGATGGATATAACAGTGTATACAGTTTGCCTATGGGATGAGTGTATGTATGGTATGGCACACATACATGTGTGGGTAAAATAGTTGGAGCGGAAGTATAGTATTAATGATAGCATTGAGAGAGAAATTGCTTCATATTTTTTGCTATGCTATACAATACTCTCTTTGCTCTCTTTCTCTCTCTCCCGAACTGTATATGCAGTTAATAATAGGCCTTAAAAAGAGCGGCAAAGAAATCAAAATCAAGTGGAAATGGCAGACAATCTCACAGTGCTATCAGTCATGGATAGGGTTTTCTCTCTTTCTCTCTCTCCCGAACTGTATATGCAGTTAATAATAGGCCTTAAAAAGAGCGGCAAAGAAATCAAAATCAAGTGGAAATGGCAGACAATCTCACAGTGCTATCAGTCATGGATAGGGCTTTTCATATACATTATTATGTGCACTGGTATGAGAGAGCGAGGGAACGGTATTGTGTTTATAAAGAAAATAAAAGGAAAATGAAATAAAGAGTTATATATTTTCGTTATGAAAAGTAAATGAGTTCAGAGAGACTGCTGAGAGAGAGAGAGAGAGAGAGAGAGAGAGAGAGAGAGAGACTATAAAGATATATATTAATATAATTTTTGCTATGAATCTCTGTTTATCACAAACGCTATCTCAAACTCAGCTCACAATAAGTAATACGAAAAAAGTTTTTTCCGTCCGACAAATATATATACAACGAAAAAATGTTATTAAAGTGTAGTTCCGTTACATTTCGTACTTGTGCCGTCAATAATGCAATTAATACCGAGACATACATGTCGTGTCAAGTGTTAGGTATACAATGTTTTTGTAAGGGGAATGGTAGGTGTTAGTATGTGGTGGGTGTGAGTGAGTTGAATGTGTGGNATGGAAGCGAAGTTAGCATTAGCTCAAGTGATTAGGAGATACCGATTCTTCCAGACTCCCAATACAGACGTTCCCTTACAGCTGAACAGTAGTCTTGGTATACATACACCTAAAAGAGTGATCATTGGCATTGAAAAGAGGCTGTAATTAATGATCTTATATTTTATAAATTATTGTAATAACTCTAGACCCATTTAGAATTGAACCTGTACTTATTTACTTTTGTAGAAATAGTATATTTTATATTTACTTATATAAATTTATTCATATTAAATAATGTATTTAAATATAATAAAAGCTAAATAAATTATATTTATGAATTATTCAAAATATTTTTTAATTAAAAATTCTTTTCTTATTGAATATTATTTCTATATTATTACGATATTTAATAATAAATAATTCAGTGAAATATTACATTGTATTAATATAAACATTTATTAAGCTATAAGTTATAGTTAATAAGTTATAAATTATAAAATACGCTAAATAAATCAATATATATACAATAATTATACTAGTATCAAAAATTCAATTTGAATAAATGTTTACATAATTCTTATTTTAGTAGATTTAAATATACATCAATTTAATTAAACAATTATTTATCAAATATGTAAACAATATTTATCTCTTTTCAATGCCCACTAAAACACTTTTCGGAGTATTCACACGATATGCTCGTTTGTATTGGAGGGGAACGTCTGTATTAGGAGTTCTGAAGAATCTGTATTTCCTGATAATATGAGCCAAACCTAACTTTGCTTCGAGTAATGCAAACCTCATACCAATGCAATTGCGAGGACCGGCACCAAAAGGTAGGTATGTGTAGGGAATGATGTTATGTCTATTCTCAGGCATAAACCTATCAGGGTTAAATTTGAATGGGTTTGGATGATATTCTTCTGTTGTATGAACCCCATAGACTGGAATTTGTACGGTTTGTCCCTTAGATAGTGTCAGACCTGTTGTCCCTAATTTATAGTCAGTTGAAGCCATTCGATGCAGTCTTAGGGCCGGCGGATGAAGACGGAGTGTCTCTGAGAGGACGGCATCTAAATATGGCAGTCGAGCCAACTCTTCGTAACTGATCTCTCCATAGGAATCGACCGAAGAATTGATTTCTTCTAAGAGTGTCTCCTGAATGTGTGGATTGAGAGCCAATTCATACGTACAGAACGTCAGAGTAGTGGCCGTCGTCTCAAATCCGGCCAAAAAGAAGACCAACGCCTGCGCCAGGATTTCATCCTCTGTTAACCTCTTGTTATCCAAACTTATATTCAATGCCTTCCTCTCGGCCGCCAACTCTTCCTCTCCTTTATAATGACAACAATTTTGAAACTCTATGGATATTATTTTAATTACAATTAATAATACCTTCATTCACATGATGTGATTCATTGATATCATTCTCATCTCTACTGTTATCCCTACCTCTCTCCACATCCATAAGCAGTTGCAGAAAATCGTTGTATTTTTGATTATTTTTACGTCTTTCTTGAATTATTCTTCTCGTGTTATCAATAAAGAAATTTCCTTTATTTTGTTGTTTAGGAGTTATTATGTTATTGAGTTTTAACAATAATTTCGGACAAATCATGGTTACGATCTGTAGGAGAGGGTGAACATTGAATGCTGATCGGGCCATCACTACGAAAGGACTGTCCAGTGTATTATGTGCACCAGTTTTAGTAGCAAAAGCACAGGTAGCGATCACATCCATAGTGTAATTACCGTACATATCCTTTACATTAATCTCGCCTCTATTCACAGCAAAGCCCTCCAAATGGTTCATAAAGTCTGTCAAACACTCCCTAATTCTTGGATACATTTTCTTCATCTTCCCGGAAGTGAATGTCGGACTAACTATGGATCGGACTCTCTTCCAGTCATCGCCAGTCAATTGAACCAAATTCTTGCTAATAATGCTATCATTAGAAGCGACTATATTTGAACGGTCGGCAAACAAATGGAAATCCTTCACCAAAATTGTTTTAATCAAATCGGGATCAGAGATGGTTAGTATTGGTTGGGCTTTGAAATAATAGCTATAATATATCAAAATAATTTACTAACTATTTCATAAATAATATCAATATAGTAAGTATCAATATACCCATATAACTTCCCAAATTTTTTGGCCCAATTTAATTCTTGAATTGGTTGAGGGATAATAAAAATGTCTAATATATTTCCGAATATAGGCAATGGTCTTGGACCTTTAATTCCTCTTTTAGACCAATATCTATAATTCTGTGTTAAGTACCTATAAAATCAAGAATATTTTATTACAATATA